AATCTTAAGTTTGTTGAGATTTTAGAATGAATGCATTCAATTACAGCAACAGTGAAAAGTCTGATCATGTTCGTCAGCTAGAAAATAGTAAAGAAAACTAAAAACCATTTTGTAAAGGCGTTTACAGCATTTTCTATTTGTGATTCAACGAGATCCTGAAAATAGTAACGTTTATTTCTAAAAATCACATTCTTAAATGTAATAAAGATGCCAATTTTTCTGTGAATTTATGCTGACAACTATTTGAGCAGTCTTAAAAAATAAACTGTTTCCTTATAAATTGCAATGCTTTTCAAGCTGCATTCTGTGATACATTTTTAATTTTCAGTAAAATGTATTAGATGATGGAACGATGAAATGAATTATTTATGCAGAAAAAAGAATCTTGTCATAACATCAAGAATCGATGGCGCAGAATTCCGCTGCTTTTGGAAACAAAAAGTGCGCAATTAAAATGGCCTTCACTTTCCGGATTGTAGAGCCTTTCACGCTGCATCTTCTAACATATTCTCTTGTTTTTAACGCAGCATATTAAGAAATAAAATATGGAAATACAAAATGCGGCCGTTTAAACCGCCCATCCGTTGTTTTCTGTGAACAAAAAACAAATGTAACAAACTTTGTCTAGGTACTCTCCTACTACTTGAGGTAGAAGCACTATTCTGATGTGATAAGTACACTTTGAAACGCTCCTTAAAATGACTATTTATTTGTTGGAATTATTCAAGTGATTGCAAAAATATTGATGAAAAAACTGATGTGAACTTTTTTCCTTAGATTATTTTCATTATAATAAATTTAGATTTTTTTTCTGATAACTATGTTTATTCCGCTTATCGAAATTTCGAACTGAATATCTAAGAAATTCACAGCTGCATGCAGGAATCGATTTAGAAATATACGAAACTCAAAGGGCCTTACGATTTTTTATGTCGAGTTTTAGCAAACTGTCATGAGTTGGGTATGAACTTCAACAGTTCTAGATACTCTAACTGGATTAAACTCGACTCTAAATATTCCTCTCATATCAAGATGAACGCCTATTCTTATCGATACCCATCTCCTTCATCAACGCTGTTTCGATCATGCTAAAGCAGAGTATTAGGACCCTGCTCTTCGAAAATTTTAGCGCCGCCGTTTTTTCTGAGCGTTTTCTAATAGATATGTTTTATAAGGTTTGACTAGAGCTAATCGGGGTGAAGGAATCTGAATCTGAAATCAATTTCTCAAACCTTGAAGTCAAGTTTTCTGATGAAAGCATTTTTTTAAAACACTATCACACTTTCCAATAAATCTTTGTGTTTAGGTCATAAAAATTATTCATATGAACGTTTTGCATCAATTATAAGTGAACACAGTTACTCTTTCAAAGTTGAGAAGCTTAATTACAGTTTCATACCTTTCAAATCTAAGTATACACGTTTCAAAGTCATTTCTCAAGTTTTTATGTCAAATTCGATCCAATGCTAATCCAAATTCATTAAAATCTAATGATTGGATACAAGAGGCGCCAGGTATAGTGTATCCTTACTAGCTAATATCAATGACTACTAGAAAACTGGCTATACATTAATCTATCACTGCGCTGAGTTGAATTGAAATTCAAAAGTTCGAGCTCGGGCCGAGTTCAAATAGTTTGCATTAGGTACATGTCTAGATCCATTTTTTTCTTGCAACAAATATATTCTTCGTCTAGTTACTTACTGCTTGCTTCTTTCAGCATCTCTTCTCCGTCATGATGAAGTTTACCGCAGGATTTCATTTTTTCGTTGTACTCGCCACTAGTCATTGATTGCTTATTCTCCTCAATGGATTCTAGATCCACATTCGCTTGTCGAATATTTGCTGAACCTTGCAGCAAACGGCCTCGTCTGAAGTTGACGCCATCCTTTGTTTCGCCAAAATCGTTTAGCTTCCTTCCATCTGTTTCGAATTGTTCGTTCACCATGATTTTGCCATCTTCGGTCATGGATAAAATTGAATTAGTATCACTTACTTCCCTAAACAATTCTCGTACTTAATGTGTAGAAAAAAAGTAATCTCACTCACAAAAAGAATTGATTCAAATCATCAATAGCATTTATATTACGAATGAGAGCACCATTCCTATTTAGTTCATCGCATGCATCTTGCGAGCAAGTGGTTCCCTTCCAATCATCTTTAAAAACTTGTTTTCTGCTGCCATCACCAAATCGTTCTTCAGGTTTTATGAATTCGTCATACTTTTTTTGTGCTTCCTCATTCTACAAATTTTACCTTCCAAGCTATATATATTTTTTAGAGTTCTTACTGTAATGTTTGCTCTCTTTTCTACCATGAGGTACTTCCGCTGAGCTTCTTTGATAATTCCATATCCTGTTTTTGGTTCAAAAACAGTTTTTCCAAAGAAATAAGCAGACATGGAGAATTGCATGAGTTCAATGGCTGTAATATTGCCGATACCTTCAGTACAAACTTTCATTAAAAGACGCACAAATATCACTGCAAACATGATCGAATCAACACAAAATCGGGTGCAGTTGAGAACAGTCATTAATGCAAGTTGTGCACGTGTAACAGGTTCTTTGTATTTGAGTTTATCCAACATTTTTGCATTATACTTGGCAACACCATAGTGCAATGCTATCATAGCAAGTGATATTAACTCTGTAGTAAATGATTCATCGTGCCAAAATTTATCCCATATTGAACTAAGATTGCTGCAAAAAATAAGATTTGAAAGATTTGAATATTTGTGAAAGACAACTCACGCAATGGCACCAATGAGCATACAGCCAAAACTAACCCATCCTGCCGTGGCCGCTGCATATCCTGCATACACGCCAATACTGGCACCACCTGTAAAAGGAGCTGCAACGATAGCTACAACGCCAGCCGCCAGGCCAAGGTAGGATACAACTTTAAGACTTCCAGACTTGAAGCGCTCCCAGTTGGTGCAAGACACTGATTCAGATAGAGCAAGGTCAAGGACATATTGTTGGTCATTGTTATTTTCGTCTGTGTTGTTCGGAGGCCCTTGTTTAAATTTGTAGACGCCATTTTTAGGATAGCACATTTTACACCGAGGAAGTTTGTTATTATCCAGGTAATCTTTCCAATTCGAATAGCATCGAGCCGTATGATCGATAAAGCAGAAACTACCATCGGGTTTTACGACACGGAAAACTAAAACATTTTTGATATAAAATTAATCAGTTTTGAAATAATTCATTAGTACTCACCTGGAACTTGAGCAAGTCCAGGTGGCTTTTTTTCATCTTTCTTTTCTTCCTCCTTCTTTTTCTCTTTTGACTCTTCAGGACAATCTACAAGCATCATCGTTACCGAAATCACCTGCAGACTTACACTATTCTTTGCATCTTCGGCATTTTTAGTTTTCCCATATTTTAATACCATTTTGCGAACTTTTTCAGCAGCTTGACGCTGAGAGGAGTTAAAATTCATTTTTATATTTGAACTTGGTTTTCCTTTTTTGGCCGACTAAAAACAGACAAATTTTACATATTAACTAATTATAATCAATCTACCGTGCCAAAAGCGTGCGTAAGCACAAGTTCATCGATTTTGTGAAATAGTTCTTCGTTATACTTGGCACCTTTCTCATTTGCATTGATGTTTCGACAATGAGAAGTTTGTGCTGCTTGTGCATATTCAATCCAATCATCAGTTAATTTTGTATCCCAATCTTTAAGATAACGTTGTTCTGGAGGTGGTTTTTCCATAATTCAAGAATTATCTAGAAGCAGTATTCATGAAAATTTAAAAGAAAAGTTGAGATCAAGTAGTCACGGAGAGATGGAGATTCGATACATATGATTAGATCAATATATTTCAACTAAATTAAACAAAAAATATTCAGAATTAATATTTCTTTTATTATCATTATTTTGGTCTTCAAACTCTTCCTATTTTGATAGATTTTTTCACTGACATTTCATCCTCAAAAGATTAGTACTGGAATATTGAACTGTGTATACTAAGTATGTAAAATTACAGTTGAATGAGATGTTTATATTTTAAATCATAAATCACGGACCGTATGTCATCGTTAAGTAGGTAAATATTAAATTTTGAGTTCACGTATCAAGCTTGTTTCTTGGCAATAAGAAGTCAGTGTTGTGTGAAATGCAATATAGCCACTTTCTGATGTGTACGGATGTACATATATTAATCACGATCCGTTCAAACTAGAGACATACAAATACTATTGAATTTATTTATTCATTTATTTTTCAATCATGTTTTACTTTCATTGGAACACAACTAATAATTGTCGAAACTTTCCTTGCCGATTTTTTTCGCTCCACCAACTATGCGACTCCAGAATGTTAGTTAAATTGATCGGATCTTGTTGTACATAAAATTTACCACCACTTCGTTCCTAGTTCGGTAATATTTCATCAATCAGTACCATTTGGTTCCATTTGAAGTTGTTTTTCAGCAATTTTGATAGGGGAAGTTGTTTTTGCTCATCAAAATCCTCTAGGAAACTGAAATCATCAGCAATGAATTGTACACTGGAGCGCAATTTCTTGAGGCTGTGTACGATGCTTGCGTTGAGTCCACAATGTGCAGTCGCAAGTGCATCTTCAGTAATCGGTAAACCTCTACGAAAGTTACGTGCAAGATCTTGTTTTTTGTCATTTGGGAGTTGATTAGCTATGGAAAGATTAGAATTGGCACATAGCCGAAAAAAGTTGAACATGTCGTAGAAAAAAAAAATGGCATTTCCATCGCGTTGGATTAGGAGATATCAGCATTTTTTGGAAAGAAAGCAGCAGCTTTTGTTTGGCCTTTGTAAGGTTATCGGCAGACATGACTGAAAAAGAGTAAATTAATTTTGAAAGCAAAACAGGAAAAAAAACATACAAAAGAGTAAAGAACATGTAAGTCCACAAATCTTATTTACTGTGGGGATTTTTTGAGAAAGATTGACGAATACGAAAACAAAAATAAGACAATAACAGAGAAAGAGAGAAAGAATCAGCAGAATGAGTCGCATTGTTCAGATCGCATGTTTATACTGTGCATATCACTACTAGTGAGATTAGGGAACAAAGAACGTTATAGGATGATGCATAAGGTCTGAGCCATCCAAAAAATCTATTCTTTCTCACTATTAAGCTTGATTGTAGTACTTTTGTTCTCCTCTTTATTCTATCATTTTGAATAGTACATTAATATCATAAATATTGAGATGAGTAAGTCAAATGAAGAGAACGTAAGGAATAGCGCGTGTGTGAGAAGAAAAAAAGCAATAAAATATATGGAATCATATTTGAAAATATTTTAAATTGTTATGTCCGAAGTAGGGGTGTACAGCTCAAGCTCATATGAGTGCTCATGAGCATGAGTGTTTCTTCTTTAACTCAAATATGCCACAAATCAGAATTATAAATTATATTAAATCTTTATATTCGCTACGATACCTCATGCAAGAAATTACATCTTGCACACAATATTTTCTCATTTTTTGAAAGCTACCTACAGGTACCTAGTAATAACATTTCAAGGGTTATTTGGGGTATCCTTACCGACATTCCAGGAGCCATCTTAGGATAATATTAGTAACCGCCTGAGGGCTATTTCTGGGTACCATTAGTAACTTTCTAGGACTATCGCGGAGTACTATTAGTAACCTCCTGGGGTGTATTTGGGGTACTATTAGTACCTTCCTGGTGGCTATTGTAATGCCGTTACTATTTTTCCAGGAGCTATCTCAAGGTAACATTAACCTTCTGGGAGATATTTTGGGTACTATTAGTAACTTTCTGAGGATCATTGGAGAGTTCTATTCACGGGGAAAACAGCGATGTGTGATGTACTGATTCAAAATGAGTTTATATGATTTTGTGGAACTCACATCTAAAAATGTGAGTGTAAGTTTTAGGGTCAAGTTTTGGCTTCCTCCAACCCCCTTACAGACAGGTCCCTTTCATTGCAGAGAGGCCCATACTACAAATACAGACAGACACCCACTCAATGGAGAAAAAGCAAGACTTCAGTGCTTCACGTACTTCACTCGTACTTCAAAATTGTGCTTGAAGTAATGTGAAATTCGAGTGAAGTAAAAGTGAAGCACAAGTGAAGTGGAGAGAAGCAAAGTGAAGTATGAGTGAAGTGCAAGTAGAAACACAAGTGAAATACAGGGAAGTTCGAGTGAGTGCAGAGGAGGTACAAGTGAAGTACGGTGAAGTCTTGCTGTTTCTCCCTTTCATCCATTACAGCGAGTCCGACATGTTGATACTACCAAATAACCATTCGCCATACGCAAACAAGACCTTCTTAACAAACTGTTTTATAATTGTGAATGGCTGGGTTAATAAGGATAGACATCACGCTTTTTTCATCAGAGTAGCACGAGTGAGTTTAAACTCTCCGCGAAAAAATAATTTTACAGTTTGCGCTTAGATTTATTGTTTTATTTCTAACAACTGCAGAAGATAAAACGCGTTTTTTTTAATTTTTATCTTTTTCCCATGACAGGTTAACAAAACGGAGATAAAACATGTTCTCTTCTCTTCTAACAAGTATAAAAGAGCTGCGACCAAAACCAATGGTTGTTTTCTTTTTCACTTTGTCATCAAAAAGAGGTAAGTAAATGCAACTCAACACTGTAACCAGTTTGCTAGGCTTTATCAGCCCTTTTTTGAGGATGCCAGCGATACGAAAAAGAAGCAAAACCGATAAAGACCTGCAAACTAATGTCGGCTCCCAAAGTAAATGGAGAAAACTCAAGGAATATCTCCTAAACAGATGCAGCTAGCGACCTGCGATTTTCA